CAAGCCCCTGCCTGGGCCTGGCCATGGCTGCCTGTCTCATGTCTTATCTTGTTACCTGTGATGAGACACCCTGACTGAAGAATCATGTTCCTGGCAGGGGAGCGAGGTGGGGGATGCTGAAATGTGGCCAGAAAGGCAGGTGGGCCTTCCTCCTGAGCCAGGCAGAGCAAAGCGGGGGAGGGGGGATCTGCAGTAGGGGAGCTAGGTAGACTGGGCACACCCTTGGCACCCCCAATCTCCCCAGACGCATCATTTCACCCTTGGTGGTTCGCCTCTCTCCTGGTTCCCTTAGCCCTGGATGTCCCTGGGCCACGCGGGAAAGTCACCTGCTGCCCTCTCTCCAGCTCTCCCCCTGCACGGGGTCTGGACAGAGGCTCCTTGTCTCCCCTCACTTCCCTTCCCCTGTCCAGCCCAGGGGTGTGGGTAGCTGGTTCTCCTGCTAAAAGGATTATATCATCTGTAATGTATATCCAGACACACGTGCACTGCTGCTTGGGAGGACTAGACAAGGAGAGAGAGCCTATGCAGCTGGCCAGAGGGGGAATGTATTGAGCCTGAACCTGAGCCCTCCCTGAATGGGGGTGTTAATGGCTCACCAGGTCCCAGCCCCCAGAAATCAATCGTTGCACAGGCTGACGCTCTATGTTCTGCCCCCTCCCTTCCCTCCCACCTACCTCCTGTCCCTCCCTGATACTCACACCCCTGGGCACTCACCTGCCCGATTGACCTGCCTTTGACCTCGTCTGCAAGTGAGATTTCAGAGCCATTTTGTTTCAAATGTCTGGGCATGGCTTCTTTGGGAGCTACTTCGGACAGGTAGGGTGCTTCTGAAGACATGGTAACTGGTAGCGGGATACATCTAGAAGATGCTGGCTGAAGCGCTTCAGATCTGGGAGGGGTGCAGAGGGAGGAGTCGGAGGGTTGGTGCGGGGCGGGGGGATTGCCATGTGAGCAGATGGCTTCAGCTGCAGAAGCCATCTCTGTGGGACCCAATGGTTACCCAGAAATGAAGTCTTGGATGTGTGTGCACCCTGGCTCCGGGGCCTGCAGATGTGATCCGGGTTCCATGCAGGGACACAGGCAGGGAGGACCCAGCATTCAGAGGCAGCAGCAGCAGGCGCTGAGCTACGCTGAGACAAGCCAACAGCAAGGCAGCCTGGGCACCCTGGGCAGGGCCCTGCGGAGGGCGCTAAGCTTATGGCAGGAACATGCCTGCCCCTGTGCCAGGTGTGAGGCTTTGACGGCCATCACCTTTCCCACGGTCTCTTCCAAAACCTCATTTGCCTGGAGAGTGGCCCGGAATCGGGCCCTGAACAAACTGCCCCTTAACAGATACGGATGCCTTCAGCCAAACCCCTCCAGGTCAGAGGGTGTCAGTCGGACCGGTCGCCGGAGGCACTGCCAGGCTAAAGACCTCTCTACCCCAAGCAAAGCACAGCTCCCTGGCCCCTCCACCTTGCCCGGGGCTGGCGGTTCCTGTGGCTGCTTTCAAGATCTCTGGGGAGCACCTTTGGGATTTGGGAGGGTGTGGGGTCTGACAGGAAACAAGATGGCCACTTCCCAGTGGCCATCCCCAAGGAAGGGACAGGAAGGACGGCAGTGGCCTTGGGGTTCCGGGTGGAATGGAGGGTGAGGGCTGGGGCGGCCCCATCCCCTCACCCTGAGACTCCTGTCAGCAGCAGATGGACCCAGCTGCTTCGGAGTCAGAGGCCCAGCTGTGCCCTCGGTTCTGCGAAGCAAACTTGCACTCACTGAAGTCCCCCTTGGGAGCTTTCTGCATTCTCTTCCCCAGCCCTGGGGACGAGGAGGGAACCACTATTTCCTGAGACCGAGCAGGCCGGTGCCTTGAGAGCTCCCCGGGCATCTCCGGGCAGGCCTGGCCTTTGCATGCTCCTCTTCCGGCAATGGTTGGGTCTCGTTGCCTGGAGAGCAGAGACACCAGGAAGGCTAGAGTGGGAGCTGTGCAGGGGCGAGGGTGGCATTCTTTAATCCAAATGTTTCTTCCCCAGCCTCTCAGCCCTGAGTCACTAAAGCACGGGATGGTGGCGGAGGTGGGGATGTTAACCAACCTTGCTAGAAACTCCTCTGAGTCAGCTCACCCACCAAGACTTTGCTGGTGGTCAGCTGGGCACCCAGGCCATGGGCAAAGCTGTCATCCATCCTCCCCAAACAGGAGGCGCCCTCGGTGGAGGGGGAGTGTGAAAGCCAGCCCCCTGTTTTTAGAGCGCAGCTGCTACGGTATATTGATTTATTAGGAAAGGTTCCGTAACTTCAGCACATCTAGCAGTACGGGAACCAGTGGCAGCTGCATGTGCTTGCCTGTGTGGCGTGGCTAGGGTAGGTGCAAGCTCAAGTCCAAGGCTGTAAGGGAGAGCCCCAGTGCAGTCCCACGAGGCCCAGCGTTCAGAGCAGGGAGAGGGTTGCAGGGCCAGAGGCCTCCTCCCAGGAGGGACTGTGCTGCTGCCAAGGCTGAAAAGGTGCAGAGGAGCAGTCGGGGCCCAGAGCAGGGTGGGTAGGCCTGGCTGGCCACCGCAGGACCCTCCCAGCTCCGGTGCCATGGCTTGAAACTGCAGCACAGCTAGGAGGGCCCTTGAAGATCATATGGTCCCACCTCTCTCCCCAAACCTACAGACCAGGAAATGGAGACCCAGATGGGACAAGGACCTGGGCTCCAGAGGCAAAGCGCTGCCCTCGTCTCTTCCAGGGGTAATGACTCAGGGGAATTCAGCGCTGCCGCAGACACAGCCAAGCGGCCAGCGGAGCTGCTGGCATCCCAGCCCTGCCTGGCCGCACCTTATCCTGCGCTCCCTGGGCGGAGAAGACGGCCCTTGATGCTCACAGCCTCCTGCCGAGTCTCAGGCAATCCCCCACTGAAGGCACGAGGCCAGGCTGGCCTGGAAGCCCCAGGAAGGCCAGGTGCACATCCCCGCGGGCTGCCCTTTGCCTCCCCTCCCCACGCAACCTTCTGCACTCACACTTGCTCAGGCTCTAGGCTTCTGAACTCAGCCAGACCAAGCCACATCCTACTCTGCCACTACACTATTGTGCCACCACCAGGGAGCCACGGCCTCAGTTTCCCTGGCTGTAGCATGGGGACAAACTCCTCAGACTTCCAGAACTGCTGTAAGGATAAAATGAGGTCCTCGATGGCAATGCGTGTGACCTTTGGTACAGAGGAGAAAGCTAACGGGACCTAGTGACAACAGCCTCTCCCTACTCGCTCCCAGCCCCTCCCCCACCCAAACGTCCTGGCTCCACCTCTTCCAGGCACTGAGGCTCAAATGCTATTACTATTAGCCAGAATCTGACATATGAGAATGAGAGGAGACACTGCAGGGGGACCTGGGGTGGGGGGTGGAATTGGCAGCGCTGTCAGCCGGATTTTATACCCTCTCCACTGTGGGAGCAGGAGGTGGCTCTGGGGGACCAAGCTGTGCCCGGTCCTCAATGGGCCCCTTCGCTGGGGTGCCAGTGCAGATTCTGCGCTGTAACTGTCCCCCTAGCCCAGGCCCAGCTTAGTTCAGGGCCCCCAACCCCACTCCCGCGCCCCAAGCTCGGGAGCCCCCACTCAGTAGCGCCACTGGGGACCGGGGAGCGCAGGGCGCGTCGGACAGGACTGGCCTAGAGGGCAGAGGCTTGCAGGTGGGAGGAAGGCGGGCGGGGGCG